ATTGATCCCTTTCCAAAGAAGTATTGATGTATTTGTCTTCAATCTCACTAATTCTATCTTCCACTGATTCAACTCTACTCCTTTGCCTGTTCAATGTGTTATCTATTTCTGAGAATGTATTATTAATTTTGTGGATTTCTATCTGTAGATTTTGAATCGTTTCTAATTTTTCATTTATTTTGTCATTTTATTCCTGTTCGCTTTCCAAAATTGTTCTAGGATTCACTCTGTTTTTTCCTCAATTTTGTCAGTGTATTCCTTGATCTGTCTCTCGATCTGTTGAAGGTACCCAAATATAATTCTTTTGAATTCCTTATTAGGGAGTTCCAACATTACTTCCTCCTCCAGGGGAGGAGTTCTGCGTCTGTATCCTGGTCCCTTGTTTCTACTGCTTTATCTTGCTTCTTTGTGTGGACTGTGATGGTCTGTTGTCTCCAAGACATTGCGACATTTTTGTGCTTAAATTGAATTGGTGATTGTATGTTAGAGTGATTCACCCAAGGTTTTTATTTTCTTTGGATATATCTGAGTAAGCAGGGTACTGTGCTCTTCTATTTGCTAGTTGGCAACACTTATGAACTCACCACCTGTGTCCTTTCCAGTTGTCAGTCTCCTGTATGTCCATGTTGTCCTTGGCAAGTGGAGCCTATTCTTAGGTTCCTGAAATCTGAACAAGAGTGCTGTCACTTTAAATATCCAAAATGGCTGCTGCTTGGAAACATTCAAAATGCTTGTGCCCTCCAGATAGCTAAAAGTCCACAGCTCATTTTGTCTTCTTCTTCGCTGTTTCCTATTTTAGTCACCAGCCACCAGCACAGTCATCCATACAGCCCTTGGTGAGCAGAGCTGATTTTTAGGTTAATTCTCACATCCTAACACCACTTGGAAATATTCAAACTGTCTGTGCCATCAGGATAGCTGACAGTCTACAGCTCCATTTTTCTTCTTATTCACTGTTTTCATGCAAGTTCTTCTACTAGTTGGTGTTTAATCCACTTCTGTACCCCTCCTTTCAGAGCTCTGGGCTCCAGAATTATCTTCTGGGTCTGTTTCAATTGGTTTTCCTTCTCTTTGTTGAAGTGGATCTGTGTAGCTTGCCTGCCTATTCCACCATCTTACTGGAAGTTCCTCCCAAAACCCCAAAGAAGATTCTTTTTTGTTTTTCTGATTTTTAACATTCCATCTCTTTATTACAGAGTTACATTTTGAAGCAAATCTGGAAGGAAAAAAAATGGTAACATTCTGTACATTAAGTTCATCAATTTTTGTTCTATATTCTCTGTAAAATACCCTTAAAATTATGTAAAGACTTGCTAACACAGCAAATGGACAAGAACAATGTTTGTTTTTCTTTTTTTTTTTTTAT